ATTTTTCGAAAACCAAAAAACGAAAGTGAAAAAAAGAAAACGAACCAGCCTCTGAAAAGAAAAAAAGAGAAATGAAGAAATACACCGGGTGGCAGAGAGAGAGAGAGAGAGAGAGAGAGAGAGAGAGAGAGAGAGAGAGAGAGAGAGAGAGCCGGTGCGTTGCCACGTCGAACGGGCCGGCTCTCTCTCTCTCTCTCTCTCTCTTTCCCGCCCTGAGCTGGATCCTCCCAGTCGGTATCAGTAAGGTCTTCAGCCAACAGGGGTGTGAGTGCACGTGTGAGTGGGTTGCGTGTGGTGTGTGGGAGAGTGTTGGCTTTGACACTACCATCCAGAAGGCTGCCCATCCCCCACTTCATAAGACCTTTGCCAAGCTTACTGTCTAGAACAGAAAGCATGCTACCCGAATGGCTGCGTCCCCGCGTCAGTTTGAGTGTCATCTGGGCCTGGGTTTCAACCACCACAGGGTCTTGTGATCCTGTTCTTTGCACCTTCTGGTCGGACTCTATCTCCATCAAGTACATGTCCAAGGTACAACACTTGGTGGTTGGCCCACTCACACTTCTTTGGGTTCAACTTGAACTAAACGGCACACAGCTTCTCTAAGATCAAACGCAGGTGCTGCTGGTGTTCCTCTAGGGTCTTACGAAAAATCAAAATATGGTCTAATAGACCTAGGAATCCAAGAAAGACGGGTAGAGCGGTGTAGGGCTCCTCTAAAGCGCTGCTCTAACCCCCACCTACCCCTGCTCTAATCCCGTTCCCATTTCCCCTCCGTCTGACCCACTTTTGAGAAACGCGCGAGAGGTGGGGGGCTGCGGATGACAAGGACTAAGGGCCCCCACAACGAAAACGACAAAAAAAAAGCACCCCTCTACGCCCCTACAACCCTGAACATCCCTCCCCAACAGCCCTCAACACCCCCACAGCCCTCAACACCCCCTTCCCTGCACCGTCTACACCCCACCAAAACAAGTGTCGCAGTGTATATTTCCATGTTCTAGCGGAAGATTCATTCCGATTTTGCTCATCCTCTCGATGGAAGTAGCCTCGCTCTATCTCTCTGCGCATGGCTGGAAAGCAGTGTATATTTCCATATTCTAGTGGAAGATTCATTCCGACTTCGCTCATCCTGTCGATGGAAGTAGCCTCTCTTTATCTCTCTGCGCGCATGGCTGGAAAGCTCTCTCTCTCTCTCTCTCTATATATATATATATATCGTCAAATAGAACTGCCCGGTAAACCGTAGGCAGAGAGGGAGAAGAGGACAACAAACGAGGGGCTGTGACAAACTGTTTCGTCGGAGTTTATATATATATATATATATATATATATCGTCATATATATATATATATATATCGTCACAAACAGATATATATATCTATCTATCTATCTGTGTGTGTGTGTGTGTGCATTCCATCGATAGGATGAGCAAGGCACCAGCCAACAGGTAAGTGTCCGACACCGCGGCTGGCCTCACGCAACTTTCATCATAGGATGAGCAAAATCGAATGAATCTTCCGCTAGAACATAGGAAATATACACTAATTTGTGTGTGTGTGTGTGTGTTTGAGAGAGAGAGAGAGAGAGAGAGAGAGAGAGAGAGTTCCATGCACGCAGAGAGAGAGAGAGAGAGAGGCTACTTACATCGACATCGATAGGATGAGCAAAATTGGAATGAATCTTCCACTAGAATATGGAAATATACACTGCCTTCCATCCATGCGCAGAGAGACACAGAGAGGCTACTTCCATCCATAGGATGAGCAAAATCGGAATGAATCTTCCACTAGAACATGGAAATATACCATGCCACAGTCGTGCACCCTATACACTGCTTTCCAGCCCTGCACCCTCTACACACCCCCTCACGGGTTTGAAAAAAAAAAAATGGCAGCGCAGGGGGGTCCTTGACTGCCAGGGCCGGCCCCCCACACCACTGGAACGCGGTCCCCCCCTCCCCCACCTGCCCGCGGTGAGCAAAATCGGAATGAATCTTCCACTAGAACATGGAAATATACCATGCCACACTCGTGCACCCTATACACTGCTTTCCAGCCCTAGACCCTCGCAGGTTTGGAAAAAAAATTATGGCAGCGCAGGGGGGTCCTTGACTGCCAGGGCCGCCCCCCCACGCCACTGGAGCGCGGTTCCCCCCTCCCCCCCACCTGGCCGCGGTGCTGTTTGGCGGAGGACGCTCTAACCCGTTGAACTGGGGGTAAGACGGGGGTTGAGCGGAGATAAAGTGTCGCTCTACCCGTAGAGCGGGGACCCCCCTTTCTAATTCCCCCCAGACACTTAGAAATAGACAACAACAAACTTATCTAGCCACTCGCAAGGCAGCAAGGGTGTTTGCCAGACCAAATGGCATGACCACAACCTCGTAATGGTCGTAGCGAGTCCTGAAGTCTGTCTTATGCTGGTCTTCGAGTTGTAACTCTATCTGATGGTACCCGGACTTCAAATCTATTTCGGAAAAATACTTGCATCCCTGCACCCTATCCAAGAGGTCATCTATTCTAGGCAATGGTTCGACATTTTAATGGTAATTGCGTTGAGTCCCCTATAGTCAATGCACATACGCAGCTCGCCTTCCTTCTTCGGCACGAATAGAAAGGGTGCGTCATACAATGAGAAACTAGGCTTTATCCACCCATTTTCGAGCAGTTCTTCGAGCTGCTTGTGGAGCTCATCTAACTCCATGGGAGACATGCGATAGATAGGGCCCTTGGGAGTCTTGCTGCCAGGCTCTATCTTGATTTGGTGCTCTATTTCCCTCTCGACTACACCTGTGGGGGCCTGTCCCACATAAGCAAACTCCCTCAGCAAGCTCTTAACCTCGGGTGGTGTCTTCTCTCCCTCCTTTGGCTGTTCACTCACCGGTCTAATGTAGGCGACGGAGATTTGGTCAACGAGGTCTTTCTTGACCATGTACCAATTGAACGCGGGGGTACTCATACAGCAAGGGGACAATCTGCTCTCTCTGCAAGGCTCATGAAATAGATGCATTTTCTTCTTCCCACATCGGGGTTGGGTAGCCAGCACGCGTGCTCACCCGTCATGATGTCGGCGTATGCAACGTTTCCCCAGTCTGATCCTAGGATAAAGTCAAAGTGTAGGTTGTCCTCCACTAAGAGGGTCAAGGAGTGCAAAACTCTCTCTACCTTGGTCTTCCCCTCCAACCCGAAGTATGCCTACACCCCTTCAACGTATTCGCTCACAACCATTGCTCTATTATCAGCCAGTTTGCTGACTACTGGCTCATCTAGCTTCTTCACCTTCATGTCGAGATGCATTTTCTGCAATTCTCTTCGGCTAATGTAGCTACGTGTCGACCCACTATCAACTAAAGTGCATACTTGTTCTCTACTCACTTCTACGTCTGCTATTATTAGGTGCCCCTTCGAGTCTTTCCCCATTTAGGCCCAGGCTTGGCAGACAAGTGATCAGTTCATCATCGACGCCTGCGAGGGAACCACCTACAGAGATCCTAGCACAAGCGACCTCTGGACAGCTAGCTAGGTGAGGGTCTACGTCGGTCTCTACCATTGGGGCCTTCAAACAGGAAGGTGCCTGCTCAACGCTCGCTTCTACTTGTCTATCTATGTCTGAAGGCCTAGTAGGAGCAATTGCAACTCCTACTGGTTGTTCCCTTTTTGGGTACCAATACTTGGGGCAAAAGAAAATAACGTGGTTAGGGTCATCACACTTTAAGCACTAGTTGGCCTCAAGTCGTTCCTTCCATAGCTTGTAATCCATGTCCATCTTCTCCCACAGTCTGCCTTCCGCAATCCCTGGGTGAGATGGATACAACCTGCGACCCCCACCTCGTCCCCCGCTGAAGGGAGAACCACGTCCGCCTTGCGGGGAACTATTATCCCTACCTCCCTCCGCCACAAGTTGAGGTGGTCGCTTAGCCCCCTCCCCAGGCTACTCGGGTGCTGTTTTGCTCTTCCAGTCCGTAGTCTATGTTTTAGTAGGGTAGTGCTTTGACTCCCCCTTCCTCAAACGTGACTAGAAGGTTGTCTTTCCCCTCTATGCTTCCGGACATCGTCTTGTTCTTCCACCGACCTCCTCTCTACAAGTCCTTCCAGTAGTGGCAGTAGTTAGCCTCTTGCAAGAAACTGGTCTGGTCTACAGCGAGCTTACTAAACTTTTTGTATGTCATACGCTCCTCCTGAGTTTGGGGATACAAGTTAGTTCTAAGGGGGTCAGGAATTGCTCTGGCGAAATTATTCAAGATTTGTGTGGGGGTCAGATCGTGATCGGGACACTGCAACAGCTCATCCATAACGGTTTTCAACGCCGCAACACTCTTCCATTTCCAATCGTCTATGTTAAGGTCAAGTGTTCGGTGTGTTGGGCCAGGTTCTATCTTCGAACCTCTCTTTCAGGGCTTTTAAAATGTAATCACAAGGGATATTCTACCATCGAAGAGCAACCTGCCTCCTTCATCAATGGTATGGCAAAGCTGGCCGCATCCCCACCAAGGCATGAGCTCGCCATCAAGACACGGTCACAATATGGAATCAACTGCACATATAGGTACGTGCCCATGTGCGCCTCCCACTGGTAACAGTTCTCTTCCCTCTTCCAATTGTATGTGAAGGGGGATATCACTTTCATTTTCTCTCTCCTTTCCCTCTCGTCAGTCGACCTTTCATCCCCCTTTCAGTCTCCTTCCTTCTTCAGGCCTTTTCCCCTCTTCCCATCATCTCCCATTGATGCGATGGTGCTCACGAGCTTCTTGGTGAAGATGTCCTCTAACTGATGGGCATAATTTCGAGTCCTATCGCCGAGCTGGTGAGCAAAGGCACAAAGAAAGCTGTTCCACCTACCTTGGAATTCAGTCTGATGGCGGTCCACTTTGCTGACGGTGTTGTGAGTGCAGCAAGCTCCTTTGCGGTGTGCAGCAGTGCGTCAGTCACGAGTGTTCGACTTTCTTGTGAGTCATTCTCCTTACCCCTTTGCTCGTGTAGTCTCCGCTGCAATGCCTCTCCCTCTGCTGTCAACCTTTTTTGTTCTCGTCGAGCTCCTGCCTTCTTCTGGTCAGCAATCACTAGTTCAGGATGCTTTCCCTCCCTTGTACCAGCAAGGCACGTTCATCATCGTCATCAACAGCTGCCATTATCTTTGTTGCAATATCTTCCCGTTCAGCTTCAGTCTCCTCCTCCAACACATCTCCTTTGGACCCGAATTTATCCATCCACTCGCCGGTGTCCACCGGATGGAATTGCAATTGACTGGACTCGCCTGAGCAAGTTTCCGCCTTAGAAGGCTTATCTTCTCCCTGCATTCTTCCTCTTCCTCTCCTCGACAAGCCCCCTTCTTCTTCATCGTCTTCGTCTTCTTCTTCTTCTTCTTTTTCTTCTTCTTCTTCCCTTGCCTTTGTTTCCTCCTCCAATTTCCTCTTCATGTCTTTCTCTAGTCGTTCTATTTCCTCCTCCTCCTTCCTATTTTCTTCTTCCATTGTCGGTTTCAATTTCTCCTCCCTTTGCTTCTTCTTCGCCTCCTTCTCCCTTCTCTTCTCCGCCAGCCTGGGTGGATGCCCCATATCTGCTAACAACGTGCATCCCCAAAATTCGGGCTAAGCCCAATGGAAAAAGGAAACGGAGCAGCCGCCCCCATATCACAGACAGGGCCAAGAGGCCGAACATGGGGTAGTCATCCATGGTGAGGTTCAGCACAGGTACATTGACTCTGCCTCCTCACCACCTAAACCTACACCTCAACACTTATTCCTCACCACATATATTAACGTCCTCAAGTCGGACAGGCTATTTCCCTTCCCCACGAAGTCACTACAGCTTGCCTAAGGACTGGTCGCCAACCAGCTGTTTAAACCACCAGTACATAGCCCCAGGCAACTGGAGAACCTGTTTTGTGCCTCTCCAGAAATTTAGGAGGCCGAGCGACGTAGATAAAATGAATTGGCAGCGGTCGGCCTCCTAAAGGGGCCCGCGACCGATAGCTGGCATGTACTAGTGCTTTACGGTCTGCCAGCACGGACCTCAAGAATTATTTAACAATGCAATCAGAACATCGTGGCCACCAATCGAAGGCTTATTCTCAAGACTTAGACAGATTCCTCGTTGTGCGCCACAGGGTTCAGGTATAACTACCACCAGATGAGCACGCGTCGAAAGCGACCCTAAGAGCCATTGAGAGTTGCATGATTATACGTACCACATAGTACACCACCCTCGCAACTGCTTGCGTAACCATGCATGGCTAGTCAATATGACAAGGCCTACGTCTCCGCGATTTTTATTTAGAATCTCGCGTGCAGCACTCACTTATTTTTGTCGTAAAAAGGTTATGGGTCGGATACGAAAAAGGGACTAGGCACGATTTACGAGTGAAACTTAGCTTTTATTTTCGTGAAGTATATTGGCTGGTTAGATGGATCGTCCCTAGTCGACCGACACAGAGTCGCGCTTGGGAAATCAGCCCCCAGAGCGTCGGCTCGCGTACAGGTCCGATTAAGGCGTTTGACTGTGCGTACCCCTATGCTACAGCAAACGAGAAATGCCCTCGGATGGGCCACCTCTACGATTGCACTCAGGCAACTTTCGCACGTGATTCGATAGCTCGACGGGGTTACGGCTGACCAAGGGTGGTGACAGCCCCTTGGGCGTAAGTTGAGGCTCGCGTGACCCCTATCCTGTCGTAGGGGTTCGCGAGAGGTGCGGCTGGCGCACTCGGTCGGAGCAGCAAAATCTCCACTAGGATAAAAGTCCTGCAAACTCCTGCGTCACGCGGCCAGGAGGGTCCCCCTGCGGGACCGATGGGCTTGACAACACGCCAATCATTGTCACTTTTGTCGTCTTCTTCAACATTTTTGCACTCACGTTCACCACCTTTTTCAACCTCGCAGCTCCCCTCCATACTCTGAAGAGTTGTCATGTACAATAAACTTAACCTCATAGGCTATCGAGAAATATTACCTGCTGAAACCTCCACCCGTAGATCATATGTATTTGACGTGCCAACACAATCTTCACCCACAGCAGTCCCTACGGAGTTCACAATCGATGCTAACGAGCAATAGAGTCAAGGGGGAGCGGTCCCTACCGAGTTCACAATCGATGCTAACGAGCAATCGAGTCGAGGGGGACTTCCCACTCCATGTAGCAAGGCTTCACCCCTGATGACCGACATCTTTGGTGGACAACCCACCATATCTCTCAATCCATCATGCATCAATAGCCGCCTGAAGACTCACGCTAAGACATAGCCGCCTGAAGATTCACACCGCCCTTCCGAGTTCCAACAACGCCGAACCTCCCCCTTCCTTCCAGCACCAACCCATGTCGCCAGGAGATTGGCACGGAGCAGAAAGAAGAGGTTATCACGACACCCTCCACTCTGTCGTCAACTAGCTTCTGCCTAACGAGCCCTTTGGCCTAGTGAGGGAGTCCCGCATAGAGAAGTCCTCCAACCCACGCCCCCTCGCGCACGCCATATCCACAGTTCACTGCGTCATACTCTCACGAGCACCAAGCACAGCGCCTACGACGAAACAGCAACGCAGCTCTCCCGGTAGTGCTGCACCCCCGTATAGGCCCGGTACTTCATCAGTAGGAGGGGAAGAAGCTGAGGCCCATCCAGTACATGAGCAAGAAAATGGCTTCAGAAACTTAGCAAGTGAACCTATGAGTGAGAGCTCTATGCCCTCTACAAGAAATTCACCGGAAGCACCATCTCCTTGGTTGACCTTTCGAGGTAAGGTCTGACCATGAGACACTTCAGTGGATCAAAACACAGCCTTCTCTCTCTGATGCTATGAAACAGTGGAGACAAGTCATAGACATGTATGACCTCCGCCTCAAGCATCTCAAGGAAGAATATAATATGATGCTGATGTGCTGTCTTGCAGACAAAGTACTTGTGTGCCTTGATAACTGAGTACGAACTTACTGACAATGTCACTCGGTGCATGGTGAAAGCCTACAAGGAAGGCAACTTCATGTCTGAGATCATTTGCAGACTCGAAGCGCTGGACAAAGCCACCACAGACGAGTCTGTGATGGTCGACTTTGTGTGCCGAATAGTGAGTCTTTGTGTAGTTTGCTCCTAGGAGAGTGTCATGACGCAACGGGACATTTAAGGTGCAAAAAGACGTAGGGGAAACTAGTTCAGCGTTTTTGGTGGCTGACAATGCTGCAGGATGTGAAGTACTTCGAAACATGCCAGGTTTGTCAAAAGGATTTCTTTCTTTTTCTTTTCTTTTTTTGTTTTCTTCTTTTCTCTAATCTAAGGCTCCTGAAAAAGAGGCGCCTTTCTAAGCCTCTGCCAATCTCTGCTGGAGCGGTACAGAGTCTATTCATGGACTTCATGGATACTCTTGTCACCAGCAAATCTGGCAAAACGCACATATTTGTGATTGTTGATAGATTCTCCAAATACGGTAGACTTGTTGCGCTGGCCGAGAGTGTGAATAGCACTGAATACTGACTATGTAATTAAGATATTTATTGGCCACTGGGTAAGGGATTTTGGGTTACCAAAGTCCATAGTCAGCAATAGGGATGTCAGATTTACCAGCGAGTCATGGAAGAAAATTGAGGAGCAGATGGGTTCCCAATTGCAGATGGGATCTGGAAACCACCCAGATACTAATGGGCGAGCCGAACAGATGAACCGGGTAGTACGGCACCTGCTGTGGCATTGTATCAAGCCCAGCTGGGAGGACTGGGATGAGAAACTTCCTCTCATCGCCCGCCTGTACAACAATGTTGTTCATAGTACTACAACGTGCACACCTAATCAGCTGCCGTTAGGATGGAGGCCTAAGACCCCATTAGAATTCCTCGTTCCTGACACTAGACCCAGTGCAGCACTAGGTAGCACCGAATTTGCTGTAGAATATGACAAAATGCTGCAGCAGACAGCGGAGCAGATCAGGAAATATAAGGATGCCATGATAGCATTTGAGAACAAACGAAAGAGAGAGTCAAAGTTTCAGGTAGGGGAACATGTGTGGAAGTCTCTGGGGTTCAGTCAGTAGGTAGACATCTCACGCAAGCTGATGCCATAGTATTTTGGGCCATGGCAAGTTCTTGCCATCGTGGGTTCAGACCCAGATGGCCCATCATACGTGATTCGCAGCGCCCACCTCACCTGGCGGGGCACGAGGAAGAAGCTGCTAGGGCACAGCCTGAGCGCAGTAGCCATAGCCAGGCTGCTGGCATCATAGCCTGGGAGGTTGAGCAATGGTCCTTGGGTGAGGGACTATGTGGGGGAGGCCAAGGAATGAGCGGGGCATCTGAAAGCTTACCTGGTGATGATGAGCGGGCCGCCATAGTCGGAGTCTTCATTCATCATCGGGCTCCCTGGTGATGATGATCGGGCCGCCATAGTCGGAGTCTTCATTCGTCATCGGGTTTCTCATCTTCATGAAGACCTGTTGCCATCATGTTACGGTCTAGGTGATAAGTGCTGTCTGGTTGTAGCCCGGGCGCCGAGCGCAATATAGACGAGCAACGTGGTGGACATTGATACTGGAGGCAAGGAGACGGCTTTCATTGTCAATCGACTTCAGTGCTTTGCTCTTACTTGGTTGATCTCTTGTTGCAATCTGCTTTCAGTTCAAGCACATGACTATCTGGATTTCTATGGGATGATGCAATCTGGTTTCTCTTTCCCGCTTCACTCATTTTCCTTGCAATAATGCAGTTAAAAAGAAAAAGAGTACTCTCACACACACCCACCCACGGAGAAACAGGGTACTCACAAGCCCACTCAGGACACAAACCACCAAATCCAGCATTCCCTTCGCCATACAACAGAGAGATGTGGATGTAATATGAAGTAATTCGGCTTTCGCGATCGAAGTGCATTGAGTAAATTGAATGAATCTGATTGGCTCATGGAACTCTTTAGCAGCGGACTGCTGGCTGATGGGGAGCAACCACCATCACCATCCTTTCATACACGACAACTTGACAAACCCCCAAGCCTGAATCAGAAATAGCCTTTTTTAAACCACCAGTACCTTGCCCAGCTATTAACACACAGCCTGAAAATGCCCTTCTCACCAAAAAAGAACGAACTGGCACGGGCCTCATTTTGGCTGCATCGCATATTTGTTTTTCAAGCGGGGAAATGTACTGGTGGCTTAAGGCTTAACCACAAGGCAAACTTCATAGCGAACGACGCTGTCGACGACCGCATGCTTCGGGGGCTCAGCTTCACAGACCTTTTGGCTGCGGCACGAGCCAAAAAGGAAAGAAAACAGCACTGCGCCACTTCATTTCGGACTCCACACGCAGCAGAGATCCACCAAGGGAAAAGAGGCTCACAGGTACTGGTGATCTACGTCTGAATCACAAGATTACAGTAGGCACGGTCGTGGGTTCGGGCGAGGGAGATGGTTATAAACAGAGAGACGACATCGACAACTTTTAAAAAAAACGAATGATGGGCAGAGTATCTTCTTCCCCCTTCTCACAAGCTATGAACTCTTCCATTCTGCATGCTCTTCCCTGCACGCCTTGACAGCAACAGAAGACAGTGGTGTTCCTCTCTTCGTGGTGTTCGGATCTCCGTGGTCCACAGAAGCGACGTGTCGGACACAACAGTGATAACATCCGAGTTTAAACGATTGGAAGAGCTGACCAGCTTTCCGAAAGCCATCCCTGTCCCATCTGACATGAGGGAAAGAAAAAAAACAAAAAACAAGACGACAAACCAGAGCAAACATGCAAAGGGGGGAGGGGGAGAGAGAGAGAGAGAGAGTTAGGCATGGCACTGGGATTTGTGTAAAGTTACTGTAAACTTTCAGTCCAGTTTTGCTGAAGTGCATCTTATCATATGTGTCATGGAAATTTGTGCGCTCCAACTTCGTTGATTTTTCGGTGCTCATATTCATTTGCATTCCTCATTGCAAGGAACCTGATAGTTCGTCCTTTGCTGGAGTGTTCTGGATAACATGCATGTCATGCAAATCACACAGATTGCAAGGTCTCACACAAAGTACAATGAAAGAGAGTGGTCTCCAGAAAGCCCAACTCAATTATCACAACCAAATTAAGTAGAGAGAGTCATGAGTTCAAAATGTAAAGCACCCAACAGAAGTACCAGTCTTCTTCATCCAATGTGAGTTCCTGGCCTGGCGCTCATCAGTGCCAGCGGCCAATCAAAAGAACGGCGCTCAACAGGTAAGTATCACCAAAGCTCCCTTCTCTCTCTTCACCTTCTTGTCTTTCTTCTCTCTCTCTCTCTCTCTCTCTCTCTCTCTCTATCTATCTATCTATCTATCTATCTATCTATCTATCTGCCCTTGTTTTTTCTTTTTCTTTTTATTTTTATTTTTGCATGTTATCACTGTGCCCGATTTTTGCTTTTATTCTTTGTTCCGCAAAGTGCGCTCTTTTAGTTCGTAGTTATGTGACAATATATATATATATATCGTCACAAAATAGTCCTGGTTTACTCACACTCACTATGCATCCACACTTCCTTTACTCACTGGACTCTTCTACTGGCTATCCCTACTAATGTACTAACTTGCGCTGGCGCAGCTATGGCTGCCTTCCTTCCAACCTGCACCCCTCTTTTCTCTCTCTCACACTTAGCGCTGCTCACAGCCTAGCGCAGCTCACACACATCTAGCGCACAAGTGCCACGGCACTTCCACACTCTCATGCGAAGTGAGCATCTGCCAAATGAGGAGGCTGGCCAGTCCTTTATTGCGCTGGACTTGGACTGGCGAGGTCTGAACTCGGCCTCCAAGTGTCTGGGACTCCTGCCCAGTACCTGTTGTTGCAAAGTGTGTGTCCCAGTATCCTTTCTCATGGTCTGCTGCTGCTTGGGCTATCGGGCCTGTCTTTTGGACTCCTGGTCTGAATCAGGACTGACCCGTGGGACTGTGACTGGACTGGGACTGTGGCCTTTGACTTATTGCCGAACAGACACGACTTATCGTCGAGCAGACATGACCCTAACTCAGTCTTGAAATCTGTGTCCAATACCTGTTCGTCCAGGACCTGCTCGTGACTGTTCAAAATGACTTTTCAGTTTATGATGGATGCGACATTTGCCTCAGGAACTTGTCTTTTGGAATGTTGCTCGTGAAATTGAGTTCAGGCAGAGAGGGCTCTTTTCATGCGGGGGTCACATTTACGGGCCTGAATCGTAAAGGCCCTTTTATCATACTTTTCTGCAAAAAAAAATCTGAAAAAAAAATCAGGGCCGTAGGTTCGGTCACTAATGGTTAATGGTACTTAATACTACTTAATAGTATAATAGTACTGAATACTACTAATAGTTAATTCAGATTTGTTTTCCTTATGGGATTCCACTATCAGGACTCAAACTCAGGTCTGTTTATCAACACTTCATGGGTGTATCATTCACCCACATGGGCTGGATAGCGGCCTTCAATTTCATCCCAGCTCACTTAGCCTCCATTTTCAGAAGGCGCCGAGTTCAGTCTCCCTCGAGTTGAGTTTTATGGGATGGTCTTGTGTGCAAGGGTAAACTCATGGAGTCCCAGAGAGCAGATTGGATAGAGATGCCAGATTTTAAAAACAAAAAAACAAAAAAAAGTTTAGAAAACAAAAAAAAACTGCACCAGGTGAGTTTGACAGGATGCATGCATGGCATGAGAAAAGGAATCTGGTGAAAACTCAGAAAGTTCAGAGCTTCAGAATGGATAAAGATTTTAAGCCGGGCTAAAAGGAATATGCAAGTTTTCCCTGGTACAGGGTGGACAGGGCGGATTCATTTTATAAGAAGCATTCAGGTGGATAAAGAACGGCATGTGGTCATACCACAACTTGTGTGTACATTCCCTTTTCTTTTCAATCCTCTGGGAAGAAATAGACAGAATATAGGGCTACGGGCTTCTCAGCCATAATGGGGGAGTGCATCGAGTTAAACAAACACATGACCCCAACCCACTTTTCACAAACCCACCCTCACAGGACAAACCAACAGACCAGCAAAGGAGGAAGAGGAGGAGGGCCAGGAAGAGGAGGAAAAAGGAGAAGAAGAACAAAGAAGGAGAGGAGGTAGACACCGAGAGAGAAGAGGAAGGGGAGGAGGATGAAGAAGAAGGGCTGCAAGGAGAAGGAAGGAAGAAGGAGAAGAAGAGGTAGCAGTGAGGAAGAGGAACGAGGGGGAGGAGGAGAGAAATGAGAAGGAACAAAGAAGAAAGCAGGAAGAAGAAGAAGAAGAAGAAGAAGAAGAAGAAGAAGCAGAAGAAGCAGAAGAAGCAGAAGCAGAAGCAGAAGAAGAAGCAGAAGAAGAAGAAGAAGAAGAAGAAGAAGAAGAAGAAGAAGAAGAAGTCGTTCGTAGTTGCAGCAGCAGCCTTGAGGAAGGCAAGAATGAAAGTGGTCACACATACCATCACTTACCAAGATTCCACTGAAGACCAGTTGTGGTGGTGCACATCGAGGGGAAGCCGATCGGAATGAGGCCACAGTGCGGACCCTGCCATGCAGTGTTTGGCTTGATGACATTTCGAACTCGCCCAGGAAGCAAGAGAGCAAGGTTTTCATCATTCAGCAAGATGATGCGCAGATTTGCAAATTCATGTAACAGGTGGAAGTTCGCCAGTTCATGATCTAACCGTCCTCCAAGCGCGCCAAGAACCACCAGCTTTCTCTGATTCCAGCAAATGACCAACAGGACCAAAAACAAATGGTCACCGAATGATGGATCAAAAAGGTACCAAAGTTGAATCAAAACAAACTTAAACCAAAGTCAAACCAAAGTCAGACCAAAGTCAAGCGTAAGTCAAACCAAAAGTCAAACCGAAGTCAAACCAAAGTTAACCAAAATAATTAAAGGAAATTCGAAATTTGTGAATTATGTCATCAATTATGGATGGTAGCAAAGTCTTAAACCACCAGTAACTCCGAGGTTCTTTCTTCCTGTGGTTAAATTAGCCAGCCGCTCTTCCGGGGGCTTTTTCAGGCTATCTCGCTGTGTGGCAGAGATATGGGGTTTGGAGCGAAAATTTGATTGGGCCTTGCCCTCAACATAGATAGCTATGGAGGACAAAAGGCAGTGGCGCAGCGGGTATCAATGTTTGATCAGGTGCCAGGCCGAGTACCGCTTTGCAGCACAATTCGATGTTTCAGTGCAAGCCGCTGCCAAGACCGGTGGACGGCGTCAGTGAGCTGGTCGCCAACGCTAATGATTCACTGACAATTGCCAGCACACTGTCTGGCGCGAGCATGCTAGGCAGGACCGACCAGCTGATGGACACATTGTGCGGCGAGGAGAACCCAGGAAGGAAAGGATAAGGCGGTGGTTGTTTTTGTTTTTGTTTTCTGGGTTTTGTCGGCAAAGGGCTACTTTTTCGAAGGGCCTCTGCTTCGAAAGGCTTCTGCTTTGACAGGCTTGGATAAAAGCTACGAGCCTTTCCACGTTTTTTTGTGTGGCATGCACAGCTCCCACACGGGCCCCTTGGGGCCTGACATTGGTCTATTCGTGGCCCTACACCACCCGAACCCCTGTTCTGGGTGACTTCCAGGGCCACAACTATCTTTTGGCCCTACAGGCTCACGTAGGTTGGAGTGTGGTCTGGGTTTTCTTTATTTTTCTGAGTATTTTTGCCTGTTCCAGGTCTTGTGCAATCTGGATGCGTCATTTCATGATTTATCCAGACCAGTTGTGTCATTTGGACCAGTTTGTCCATCCAGGCCTGATTCATTCCCAGCAGCCGTTTTTCAGACTTCTCGCACTCAGTTTTGGGCTGAACCACGTTTGGGTCCCGCCCTGGTTTGTTCTGTATGAGGACACCTCTGCTGATGCAGCAGAGGAGCTTGGACGTCCATTTGGGACCCAGGCTTGCCAGCATAGGCCAGGACCAGGACGTTAGCCTGCACCCTGGACTGTCCATCACAGATCTGATCAGACAGCCCAGCATGCAGGCACATTCCAGCTCCAGGAGGCCCAGCACTACTTATAGCAGGGCCGAGTCTAGTTCGCGCACACAGCAGTCTGGGAGTCACGCACAAACACTGCTGGATACAGCGCTAGCGGAGTAGCGGTAGAGTAGAGTAGAGGAGGCAGGAGAACAGCGAAGTAGAGGCCATGGAGGTGCTGTGCCAGAGGAGACTCGCCTGGAGACTTACCTGGGGATGCCATAGCTGGAGCTCCATCTTCAGGCCTCAGCAGCCACCTGCAGCACCACAGCTCAAGATGACACCTTTTGCTGGTCAGTATCAGAAGAGGGGGGGGGGAGAGAGAGAGAGAGAGAGAGAGAGAGAGAGAGAGAGAGAGAGAGAGAGAGAGAGAGAGAGAGAGAGAGAGAGAGAGAGAGAGAGAGTTAAGACGTGGTGGCTATTTTGGGCTATGCCAAGACTCAGACGCTACATTCTGGACGTAGACTATTGGGGGACTTTTGTGGGAGCCTTTTTTCGACAGTCCCCTCTTCTTCTTCCACTTCCTCTCCTCCCTCATCTCCTTCACCTGTGAGATTCTCTAGCCATGAGTGTGGGGCGTGGCAACAGTCTCTTCCATGTATGAGCTGCCATGCCCGTCCCACTGAGTGATGTTGGACGTGTGTGTCCTGTCTTGACTCCTGATGAGTCTGATCTGTGTTTTCGATGTTCCACTGCATGATGTAGTTGTTTCTCTCCATTGGTGTTTCCTTGGGTCTCGCCATGCCTTATCTGCTATCAGTAGGCATGCAACATTTTTACAGAAGGATCGTCATTTGCTGGGTTAAGAGGAGACAGGAATTCACGGTAGGCAGCAGCAAGTGGGTTAATTCAGACAACCTTCGGAGAGCAAGAACGGCACGTTGTTGTCGTGACAGAGTATTTATTGCATGGTGGTCATGGCTTAAGCCACACGAAGAAGATATTCCAATGCACCTCCTGAAGAACTAGAGGAAGCGGTTGTTGCGAAATGCGTTGAGGATTCCAGCTAGTGTGGATCTGAAGAAGTGTCTTGCTGTATTTTATTTGAAGACAACGTCTCTCTTTTCTTTGGTGGACATGCGACGGGAGCTGCTGTTGCAAATCGTGTTGGAACATGTGTCTAAACGTTCGTTTTTTTCTTCTGTAATGTATAAATACAAGAACTGTGCACGTTGTTCTTCGTCATTTCTTCATTTCCTGGGAGCAGTCTGTGTAGTCGCAGCTGTCTCCTTCTCTTTCCTGAGGGGGGGCTCCCCTGCGCGCCAAGGAAAAAAGATCCATTGCGGGGTGCATTTTCTTTCCTTTTTTGCCTCGCGCTGCCAGCCATCGACTCTCGGTAGCACTGTTCACCCCGAAAATTTGGTGGTTGTATACAAGTCGTTGGAAACCTTTGCCCACGTGCAAGGAAAACGAGCGAGAGCGAATGGCAAAGATCCAAATTGCATCATCAAATCGAAAACCAAATAGTCGTGTGACGCACAGAAAGCAGAATGCACGAATTACACACCAATAAGCGCAAAACTATGATGATGAAATGCCGGCCCCTTTTCTAGCCGCCATCAACAAATTATCCAATGTCACTCCAGCCGGCGCATGGTACCCAATCCACATACTCACGACACCTATTCTAGCCTACACTATGACGATGCAGCCAGAAGACTTCAGCAGCAGAACTGATGTACGTGAAGATGTCGCCCATGCAGACCTCCACAACAACCAGGCACGTCCCTCTCTCTCTCTCTCTCATCCCCTCGACCTAACACAGGCTACCTGTCCCTCGACAAAGACCACCATCACCATCAGCAGCTGGAGTGGGTAGGCCGGCTATGGCCGCCACTCCCTGAGGCTGCGCCCTGCAGCCTTCCTCTTGTGCCTGTGTGCCCCCTTGTTACTGGCCAGCACCCACGTCCTCCAAGTGCTCAGTGAAGCAGCGCTGCGGCGGAGCTTCCAGCCAGCCCAGTGGCTGAACTGGGGGTCAACACTTTCCTTTATGGAAAGTGTTCGTTGCTCCCAGCCTGCCTGCCGCCTGCCTGGACCCACACGTGGGTTCCCAGTAGCAACACACCCAGGTCCAGAATCTGCACGGCCAAGGCCTTTCCAGAAAGTGGGCCTGGTACCGTCAGTTATCGACGCCCAACTAGCTGCTGTGTTCTCATTGGCTGAGAGGCCGTGAGTGACACGGCAGCCAGGAAACGCCTCATCGCCCAGCTGAGGGCTCAGTCACACATCCACTCAGCAGTGCAGTCCCTGATTCATCCCGCCAGCCTCAAGAAAACCCGCCCCCACTGCCTACCGTGCACGCCCGACAGAGTCAAGGGGCGCGGGCTAGGCACGAGAGGTCTCTGTGAGGGGCCAGTTCCTTGCACTCTCTCCTTCTTAGCTTCGAAAGTCCTCTGAGATGCTGTTACTGAACTGGAGCTTTCCTCTTTAGTCTTCTTTCATATTCGGATACAAGCTGAGGAGCTGTCTACATCAGTTCCTTTTTAGTGAACCACCGGTCTTCCTTTGGATCCGTATGATGCCTGAATCGGACCTGGTACTCCCTTGGAGATTTCAGCGGTTTTCCCCTCTGCCAACTGGCTTAGGTGCAGGCAGGTCTCTGTGATCCACAATATCATCAATATCCATGTATCCATCTGTGTTGGGCGCAGCATTGAGCATCTCGAAGGAAACTGATCAGTTTGTGCAAAAGGTGCAAGCTTGGAGGCATGAAAACAGGGTAAGTGCAGGGGTGTCCAGGGATACAAATGACATAGGAGGGACCATCCGGTTCATTTCCAACAATATCCAGAACTTCCCAAGGTCTGAAATACTGCGGCATCAACTTCCTAGATACTCCCAATTCTTGTCCCAATTCAGATGACTTAACCCAGACTTCTTCCCCTACTTGAAATGTGGACTGATGAGTGTGCTTGTTCTCAGTGGGTCAGTTTCAGGTAGGAGAAAGTCTATCGCCGATCTAGGCTTCCAACCCAAATGCAACTCGTTAGGAGACATACCAGTGGTGCTATGAACATCGTTGTTGTAAAGGCTAGCAATAACTTCTCATCTCAGTTGTCTTGGCTCAGCTTGATGTAATGTCATAGCAAGTGCTGCACCACACGGTTCGTATGCTCAGCTTGTCCATTGGCTTCGGGATGGTTACCTTAAGTCAATTGCAGTTGGCTGCCCATCTGTTCAGCCGCTTTCCTCCACAGTTCAGTAGTGAATCAGACATCTTTATTGCTAACGATAGACTTGGGCAGTCCAAATTCACGCACCCAGTTGTCCATAAATAGCTTAATGACATGCTCGGTCTTTGTGGTCTCAGGCATGGCGACGAACCTAACATACTTACTGGATCGGTCCACTATAACAAAGATATGGCTCTTGCCACTCTTGCTGGTCATGAGGGTATTCATGACTTCCATAGACACACTGTCCCCGGCGAGCCGGAATGGGCAAGAGCTTGATTAATCTAAACGGAACTTGCGTCCTCGGCTTGTCACGTTGACAAACTTGACAAGTTTCCACATACCGCTTTGCATCATCTAGCATAGAAGGCCATCCAAATCGGTGTACTTGATTTGCAGACGTCTTCTTATAGCCAGAGTGCCTGGTTGCGTCATGGCACTCACCTAGAAACAAACTACGCAAAGACTCTCTAGATGGTACTCAAAGTCTTTTATTCCCAGCCTTCTTAAGGAAAAGCAAGCCATCCACCACCACAAACTCATCAGATGTGGCCTTGTC